GAGGCGGTTCCCCTGCACCGCGCTGTGCTTGGGATCGAGTAAAACCTCTGGTGAGCAGCCGGAATTCCAGACTTCTCTATTTCTTTGGCTTCCCCTGGGCAGCCCGGCTGCCTCCCCTCCCTCTCCGCTATCTTTCACACACCCTCGCGGTTCACACTGTGTCTTCTGCTACTTGTTTGCCTGTTGTAACATCCCGTTTCAACAATGTCCTGTGCTCAAATGTTCTATTTTTTAATTTCTTCCTTCACTTCATGAATTCTCCTCACACTTACTGCCCCTATTTTTCTTGGTCCTGGTCATGTCCAGTTCATAAATAGAGAAAACGTCATTCCTGAGCTCTTAATTCTTTTTTCTGTATCCCAGCCCAAACAATTCTAACCCAAGTATTTTCTTAGTTGGCCTGCCTTCCTGTGTTTAACACGATTTAATTTCATTCAAGACTTCACTAACTGCTGAGTAAGCTCTTAATTAAACTTGCTGACGGAGGTGGGATTCATCTCTGCTCCCTTCAGATCCCCGAAACTGTTGTATAATGTCCTCCTAAAGCCAGCTGAGGTGTGACCTTGGGAACCTTTGTTCCCACCTGGGGGGCAGCACCTCGCGCTTACGGGGTGGCTGATGGAGGGGTCTGACGGGCGCTCACGGAGGGCAGGGGGGAGCATGGGGGTACCCAGCGCGCTGCGTGTGCTCAGAGTCAGGCCAAATGGTGCAAGGTTGGCTCTCGTGCGGTATTTCCCGCTCTTAAAAACAGCTGCATTTCCCCAAGAGGTTTATCAGGCTGTAAATAACGCCCAGGTGATGCAGGTACTGTTTGCCTTACCGCAACGATGGTAACTAGTGATGTAGACAGGAGTCTCCTCACTGACTCTGTTACGTATTTTGGGGAGAATCACACCAGAAATTTAACCTGAACTTACTTTGGTACAAAGTATTAAGGTGAAGGAAGATTATGGGGAAAATATGCTGAAAAGTGTGACTGGGGTTTGGGTCTCTGTTATAACCATATTTTCTCCAGAACAGTCAAAGGAATAAAAGGAGTATGTTACTTTAGAATCTGAATTTTCTTCATGTCCACGTGCCTAATTTATTGCGATCCTTCCTTTTAGAAGTGTGCAAATGAAAAAGCAAAAAGCGTCTCGCACCGTAGTTTTCCTTGCTTGCATTTGCTTGTTTTTTCTAATTCTTAAACAGAAATGTCTGTTGTTTCCCGCTAGCCTCCTACGTGATAACCGATCAAACAGAGCTACGGAAAATCAAGTGCATGGAGAAGACAGGGATCAGCGTAACCAGAGAGCTGATGTGGTGGTGGGGAGTCAGGCTGGCCACGGTGCAGCAGCTCCTGGACCTGCTGCAAGGACTGCAGCTCTACCGAGCGGCTCAGGTCATTCTGGACTGTGAGTACCTGCCCCTTCCTCCCACAGAGAGGAAGGTTCTAGTTTCTCCATGAAATTTTAAAATCATGGAATCCTTTACGTTGTAAAAGACCTTTAAGATCCTTTGGTCTAGCTGCCAAATTCCTCACTAACTCCTGTCCCTGAGCACCACATCTGCACGGCTTTTGAACACCTCCAGGGGCGAGGAATCCAGCACTGCCCTGGGCAGCCTGCGCCAGGCCTTGACAGCCCTTTGGGTGAGAAATTTTCCCTGATGTCCAATGTAAACCTCCCCTGGAGCAACTTGAGGCCATTTGTCATTATACTGTAATGGTCAACAAACTCAGAGTATAAGAGCACGTAAGCAGTTTTGCCGATGCAGCCTGCTTTCCTGCACCATAAGAAAAAGGTTTTGAAAAGGAGAAGTGGTTTATCAACTACCTACATTACTTTTTCCCACTTCATATTTCCTCTATTCCTATCCTATGCTGTCCACAATCCCTCTATAAATTAAACAGCTGTAGTCTTTTCTAACTCTTTACATGTAATTCTTCTCACGTATCTCCAGTTTGCTCTATTTCAGATTTATCTTTTCTGAGGTAAGATTATTAGTGTTTGAACTCAGTGTGCCTACTTAAGGTAAACCATTGCCTTATAGGAATCACAACACTTTCAAATACAGTTTTCCTTTCCATTTTTCACCGTTGGAATTTATGTTTTAATTGCAGCTGTCCTTTTGTAAGCCAAACTGTACCTTCCTCCAGTTCTACCACCAAATCTGAACCCTGGACAACACACCGTCTTTCTGTATTGAACTGCCCCCAGAAGTTGAGTGGACCATGTTCACACACATTGCCACCCAAAATCTACTTTCTGGAAATCAGATATTTGCATGAATTTTGCCAGTTCTCCAAAGAGAATTACTAGAAAGAAAAGTTACAGACTTCTTTAACATGGCCGAAAGTGCTGAGAGAAGTACTGTCCAGGTGCGGGTGGGAAATTGTGAGGATGTCGCTTCCACAGGTGGAAGACGTGGGGGAGCACAACCTCGCAGTCCATGGTGGGGAAAGCGTCAGCAAGCCGGGGGTGGTTTGGAGTCACACCAGGAGCAGCTGTTGCGAAAGAGCAGCCAGGGCACAGCTGGCATCCGCTGCACAGCAGAGGCAGCTGCTTCTCATGGAAAGTCCAGTAATGCATCATGGGTTTCTTGTCACAGCGTCTCGTTGGGTAGCACAGCTGGTTTGCTGTAGCTTCCTGGCGTTAGCAAGACTTTCACTTTGGTGTGGCAGAAAAAAGTCTTTAGCAATGGTATTTTAAATTATTTTTTTATATAAAAAAGGAATATTAAGCAATACAGCACAAGCATCCTTCAAGCAAATTCTGCCTTAGTTCATCAAACACAATAACCACAGATGCTAATGAGAGCATTGCTCAGTTAATAGAACTGATTTTGCCATCGCTCACATGCAGCCTTTTGATTCCGCGCATCCACTTTCCGACTGAATTCAGCCGCAGCATTCATTTTAGGAGATTGTAACAATTCTTACTGCTCATTCTTCAGCAAGGCAAACAAGGCTACAGGAAAGCAAACCTGATTCTCTTTTAATTTGTCATCATCAGTAAAACAATTGTTAATTTAGTCACAGTGACTGTGACTTTGAGGGTCCAGTCTGAGTGAACGGGATTGAAAACAAAATCTTGATTTTCTTTATTTTTTTAGATCTCTACGTTGAATAAGTCTGATCTAGCTATCCACAGTGCAATACCCTGGCTCCCTGATAGTGTTAGGGATACTCTGGAGTAGAGGGTGACCTCCATGCTGTGATGTCACTCTTGCTCTGTGCCTGTTCGATATTTAAGAGAGTTGATTCCTAGGCCATAAGGAGAGTTTCTGGGTGCTCTTACACAACAGGGTATAACCTGCCACACCTTAAACTCTCATTAGTTACAGCCCTTGCTTGCTTTTCCTGTCAGAGCCTAAGTTCTGGGGCCCACCTTTGTTTACAGCTGCCTTATTGCAGTGTATTCCTTTGCAGAGTTTACTAACAATTCGGCTTTCTACCTTGTGATTTAATAAATAACACCCTGCATTCTCCTTCCGAGAAACATACAGACTGAAACTGAACAATCACTAGATGTTTTTACCCCTGTGCTTTTCAACATAATTCTTCTCTGTGGCAGAAAAGGCTGGTTTTGTTCAGTTAGGTAGGATGCCTTTTCTTTCCCATGTGGGTCAACTTTTCCATTTTTGCACATCCTGAGTTCAAAGAGCTGAGAAGCATTGCTGCTTGTAACATCGGAGCTGCTGCTGCTTTTGCCCCGGGGTAGAGGGTTCTGTTCTCTTACAGACCTTTAAAACAAGACCGTGAGTAGATTTCAAACTGAGATTAGATCAGCATTTCGCAGTGGTGCATGACTCCAGGAGAAGCTTCGTGTATTTAATTTCAGAAAGCTGTAGCCTGCAAACCCCAGCACTGTTGGATGTGAGCTGATGTTTAGCACGTTCGGTCAAAGGAGGCCCTGGGAAGGCGAGGGCTGCGGGGAGGTTCTCTGCTCGCTGGCCCTGCTCCTGCCTGCAAAGGCCAGACCCTGGAGCAGGTCAGGCCCGAGGGGCAGCACCCGTAAAGCCCCCGACAAGACTCTGTATGCAGGAACGGAGTCAGATCTGTCTTTCAGGCTTCCAATCCAAGCACAGCTTCCAGCAACTTTGCCATTAAAAATAAAGATACAACACAGGCAAAAATAATCATCAGCACTGCGCAGGCACATTCCTCACCCTTGTGTTTGTCTCTCTGGTTTGCTTTTCAGCGCTGGGTAAATACCACTTCAGCTTGTGCAACGTGGACCTCCCTCCAGTCGCTGGCACAAGAGGGCATTACCTGCCTTCTCTTGTGCTTCACTGATTTACCTTTTTGTTTGAGCTCTCTGGAAAACATTTCTGAGACTTTGTGGACTTTGCTTGCCACAAGCTGCAAAATCCAAGGGTTTTCCCCCTGTTAAAAATAAACCCCAATAAACTTCCTCTGGGCAGCAGGAGTGCCCTTTGTCTGTGATTTCGAAGGAAAAGCTTAGTTTCTAAAAGCTGTAGTTTGCTGATGCAAGTAAATAGAGGCCTTTACAATGATTTCTGTGGGCTAGAGAGTAAATAGGGAAAGTAAATATGAAGAGAACGTGGCAAGAAAGGCACACGCTCAGTTCAGGTGAGCAGACGCTGATGTCAGAGATCTACCGTACCTCTGCTTCTCTGATCTCCTCTGTGACAATGGATGAACTACAGTACTGGCCTGTGCCACGGAGGGCTTCAGAATGTTCACTTCTGAATGTTCGTAATCTTTTTTTTTTTCTTATGTCAGTTCTTTAGCTTTAGCGGTGACCTGTTTGTCTGATGTGGAGGAAGTTGCAAAATTCATGAAAAACCCTGAAAAATAGGTTGAAAGAAGGAAGTGCTTCTAATTTAAAAGATTTCTAGGTTAAAGTGTAGGAGGGAAAAGCCAAAAACTGCAGAATACAGGGCCCGTCAGTTTTGACTCAAGGCCTGCAGACTGTTTATGGCTGATTTCAAAAACCCGTAAAATTTGGTGTTTTGTAGCCCTCTGGCACAATAATAAAGAGTTTTAGTTTGAAGACCTAGTTTCACTCAAACCTGCAGTCACCGATGACACTGAAGAGGTGGGTACGAACCCCAGACAGAGGTCAGAGACAAAAACCTGCCTGATATGAACGTGCCCACTTGGCCCATTATTGCTTTTCAGATACTCCTGCTCTGCAGCCCTCAGCTGTAAATGTACCCATGGATAAGAGTTCAGCTGCTCCTTCAGGAGATTTTGACAATCTTGTCTATCATAGCAGCCTGGGTTTTTTTACTTTATTTTTTTGTAACTGTAGCCTAATGTAATTTTAATAATTCCCTCTAAGATGTACATATTTTTCAAGTCCCTGTGTGCTGAAAGCGTCTTTGTACTTTTAACCAGACTTCAGGTTGCTTTTCCGGGCCCGATTCTGAGGTTTTGCCAACGCATATACAACACAGGATCTTTTAGAGCTATAGTGAATCAGTAATTCAGCCTTTAGTTTTTCCTTATATATCAGCGAGTCTGAACCTTTGACCATTTCTATGTTTTCCCTAGACCGTCTTCAGTTTGTTTCTTTATGGTCAAAAGTAAAAGTATGAATTTTTTATTGCAAATAGTTCTGTAAGGGAAAGTGTTTTTGTGGAGTGACCAAGGTCATGAGAGTAAAACCACACAACTGAAAATTGTCCTGAAATATTCAACTGGCTAAAACAGATACAGTTCTGCCAAACTTCCTCCCAGTCCCATGACAACTAACAAAGAACTAGATGCTTTCTTTAAGCTGGGAGATATTTATGATTTGAGATCATTGGCCGAAGGATGCTATATAGAAAATGACAAAATAACTATACTATTATTGCTAATTTCTTACTGTAAGATACTATATATCTTTTGCGTAGCCATGACTGGTATTTGTTTGAAGCCATCCCTTCTCATTAATTCCCACTAGCAGTTAATGTCATGAATATGATCAGAATTTAAATACCAATAGTATTTCAGCAATTTAACAATAAATTGCTTGAATGTTCATTTTAGTGTTCATATTAATTTACAGTCTGTTTTCCTGACAAGGATTATTTCCTGATAACTGATTAAACTCAGACTCTATTTTCCCCAGAAATCTTCATCTTCCCTTTCTTCTCTCTTGAAGGGACATCAGCCTCTAATGTTACCCACTCTGAAAAAGAAGAGCTGGTAGAGCCACCTAAACAGGAGAACATACCTGTAACTCCCACAGAACACAAAAACAAAGAGAGGGAGACTGAGATTAGTCTGCTGCCAGCACCAGACTCTTCACATCTGGGAATCCCGCCAGCAGGGAGTAAGTGACGGAATTTGCTCTAACGTTGAAATGCCCACAGCCGAGACTGCTGCCCGTTCGCCTTCAGTACCGTGTGATGAATACACAGTGCTCACACCTCAACACTTGCCTTTTCCTCCCACTGCTGTCTCCCAAGCTGCTCATTTCTAACTTCAGCACACGGCTTCCTATTCCTCCTCCCTGTACCCCTCTCGGCCTCAGGTGATGCTGGCTCCGCTTGCCCTCGGTGTCTCAAGAGGTTTCCCAGGTCTGTGTGAACACCCTGGTCCTGTCCTGGCTCCGCACTGCGACTGGATCAGTGCAAACATTTCCTGCCCCGTGTCCCTCTCCCCAAGCCAAATAAATCTGGGCCAAAGAGCTGAGCCTGGGGCAGGCAGGGCGCAGACCTGCAGCGCGTACCGGGAGAGCACCTCCCCGGGGTATGGACACAGGAAGCCAGGGCTGGAGGGATCTGTGTAGTCATCTTGCGAAGAGGAACTGGGGAAACAGCTCCCTATCTTCACACAGCACTGCGCATTTTGACAGCTTGTCACAGATTATCCCTGGTTAGGAAATCCAACAAAATACCCCAGACCTTCATACTTAGTCACAGGCTGTGGTATTACAAAAATAAGGTGTCTTTTCAATGCTGTTTTTTCAGTTTCAGGTGCTGTTTCTGAAGGAGCCTTGTATTCACTTCCTTCTCCGCCACCTCCCCCAAGAGACCTTCTGAAATCCCTGCAGTCAAATCCTCCTGTCTCATCAAGTGTGAAGGTAAATCCCTTTAGTACTCACTGATTATAACAATGAGAATTGTCTTTGTGAAATTCTGTATTTCTTCAGTTAAAGTTTATCTCTCTACTTGCATAAAATACAGATCTGGTGAAGAAGTGGGGCTTCATTTCAATTTGTTTGGGCTGAATATAATAGTAATACTATAGTTAAGATTACTTATGGTTTACATCACTTTTTTTGCCAGTGAAGGGAAAAATTAACAATATTGCCTGCTGCATAGCTCAGCATGGATAACATGCCCACAAATAGCAATTAATTCTGCAGGAATTTCCAGTTCCGATTTTACAGAGGACTTGGTGTGGTCGTAGGAGAGTGCAGTACATACCACTGGCTAGTCAGAATGGCATACTTCTTGTAGTTTAATTTTTTACTTAAAATGTGGTTTCTGCTCAAAACTGGGCTAGTATCAAATGTACGTCAGCTTGGCCAGAGCCTTGTGTAGCTGACAACTGAAAATCTCCAGGGATGGAGGTTCCCCTGTTCCAGTGCCACCAGACTCAAACCCATGACACCATCTCACTGTGGAAAGTTTTTCTCCTGTTCCTAATGATTCCAGCACCATCCCTTGTTCCTTCCTCCCTGTAGCTCTCTTATCTTTTAGTCGAGCTAGATCTGTCCCGTGGGTCTTCAGAGTGTTCTCCAGATCCACATGCACACACTGGCCTGTCATGGTACTGTCTTGGCCTGTTTTCTCAGGTTTATTTTGTACAAGTTTTTTTGTGTTTTTTTTAAAGACAATTGTATTTTAAGAATTTGAACTCTTCCAAAATAACATGGTTCAAGAGTACCAGCAAGAAGAGAAGATTGCTACAAAGAATGCAGTAGTTTCAGAGTTTCCTGAGAGGGAGTTAATGTTTTGTTTTCTCAAGCCTGGAGCACATTAAGGTTGTGCAAGCTGTGCGATGAGGCTCCAGTGGAACTGGAGTAACAATTGGCATCAGGACTTGCCACACTGGAAGCAACAAATTATTGCGCAACCGACACCAGATGCTTCAGAAGTAGATGTCAAGTTCCTACTGGAACATAAATACATTGTGAAGGATCCTACTTTCTGGTCCAGCTGTTTCTTAATATTTGCCCCAGCCACAAAGATTGATATTTTTTGTAACTTAAACTAACATCACTTCTAACAAAACTAAGTCTGTTTTCTGGGAAGGGTGGGAATGCAAAGTGGTAACTGTTTTCAGGTCTCTTCTACTATGCAAAGCTTTTACATCAGCAAAGCACATCAGGACAGGTATCACAAGGGGAAGCCCTCAGGAGGGATTGCACAGTACCTTCCACGGGTTCCTTCAACAGTCACCGTGATTGCTCAAGTCTTGGAAAAGAAATTATGGCACCTGAAAGAAGAAAATGTGTATGAATTTTCATGAGATACTTATTTCTTCTACAAATGTGTAGCCTTGCAGCTCTTCTACTCCTCAGCAGGAGACAATGACTGATCTCCCCAGCGGGAGCCTTTTGTGGACCCAGAGGGAAGTTACTAATGCCACCGATGGTTTCAGTGACAAGAGTAGAATTTGTGAGGGTACTTTTGCAGACGTCTACAAAGGTCAGAGGAACAACGTGGTGTACGTCATCAAACGACTGAAAGAGGTAAGTACTCCCCCTTTTCTTTTTCTTCAAGAGGGTATAATATTAGTATCTCATAAACATTAACAGTTGTCATTTAGTATTGTGTGGGCAAGGAACCAGAACAGCTACATGAGACGAGAGGTAAAAAGGAAAGGATGTGAAGTAAGCAAACCTAAACTCAGCAGGCACATAGGAGAGATGCTTTATTCTAACGTGAGGAGTTTTATGAATTCTGTCCCTGGGAGTATTCTGCACTGCAGCTGCCTGCATTGAGACTGGATCAGAGGTGTCTTTACACCAGTTTTTGTTCTAATTTTCAATTGTGTCTCACTCAAAGTTGCCATCGGTGACACCTGCTGAGGTGGCTTGTCATCTACAGACTAGAAGATGTGTAGAAATGCAACATGTCAGCAACTGCTATTGACATTCCGTTGCATGGTTTCATTTTTCAGACAGAATGCACAAGCCCGAATTCCACCCAGAGGTTCTTTCACACAGAAGTACAGGTTTGCTTTCGGTAGGTGCCTGGCTTTCAGACTCAGCCTGTTGCCTGTGTGTGTAGCTGCAGGCCGGTGTGCCCGTCTCCCACGCACCACGCTGAGGGGGGGACTGCAGGCGTCCGTGCTGTTTTGCGGGAGCCCTGAGCCAAAAGCTCGGCTGCCACTGCCACCGCTGCATCCTGCAGAGCAAACACGGCGCCTCTGGCAGTCTCGGGCGGGAGGACATCAGGCTTTCTGGAATTCTGCCTCCCTCCTGCCTGCTGAGAGCCACCACGCTGCCACCACCTCTCTGTGCTGGTAGGTTAGCCGGCCTTCTGCCGTCCTGCGCGGGGCCAGTCTGTGCTTCCAGCTGCAGGGCACACGGCGCGGTTGCCTTGAATTTAGGAATTCACTCCAGCTCAGGAATGTATTTTGTCTGTGTTACTCTTCCTGCATTTGCAAATCACTGTTGATCTGTGCCCACAGGTGTTGTCATGTCAACATTTTGCAGCTGTTGGGTTTCTCAGTAGAGACCGGATTGCACTGTCTCATATATCCGTACCTGCCGAACGGGTCACTACAGAACAAACTCCAGCGTCAAGTAAGCAAATCATCTGGGTCTGTCTTCTGCCTGTGCCAAGTCCTGTCCTGTCCATGCAGGAAAAGCAACTGTACCTCTCTGAATTCCGGAAACAGCCAAAAATAAGAAGTGCCCAAGTATCTTGACTACAAGTCCTAGAAAGGCTACAGCTCTTTGCCAGTTTTTCTGCTGCAAAGCAGATCAGGTCAACAGGAAGTTTCTGCTGTGCAGCTTTCAGAGTTTTAAAGTAATAAAGAATCGGCAAAATGTCTTTATTTATCTTGTAGTATTTCACTGGATTTGGAAATATGTTTCTGTGTAATCCATCATCGATTGGCGTAATGTGCTACGACGTTTTGCAAGAGCTAAGGAGGCGGCAGCTGGAGCTGCTTACACCTACTGAGAGAGCGTTTGCAGAGCAGGTCACAGGGCAGAGAAACATCGGCAAAGCGGGAGTTTTGATTTGGGCTCAACATCAGTCTTTGTTTTTCAAAACTACTAACGTCTGACAGTTTTTATTCTACAAGATACCATATTTTCCTCACTTCTTTGCAGGATGATTCTGCTCCACTGACCTGGGAGGTGCGAATTAGCATTTCTATAGGACTTGTCCGAGCTGTACAGTATTTACATAATTTTGGAATTCTTCATGGGAATATCAAAAGGTGAGAGCTTTCTCATATCAGCACTTCCGTGGTCACCTGTTAGTTCCAGGATTTCTCTTAACAATAATGTTGGAAAGCTTGTGCAGTTTTGAAATTGATTTGCAGTATCTTTCTGCCATCTCTTGTCCTGCAGGATGTTTACTGGTTTATCTTTAATAGGTCTCTGTTTTCTAAATGATGGAAGTATATTCTTTTGAAGAGATTTTTTGAGTGCTTTGTTCTTCCCCTCTACCTTCCTACGATTCTTCATGCTCTCACTCATACGCAGCAGGCCAAATGCTGGAATCTTTCAGTGCTTAACTTTAGAAGTGTACAACTGTAATTCTTTACCTCAAAGTAATTACTTGACCAATATTGTTATTTCTTTTTCTTCCTCACAGCTCAAATGTCTTGCTGGATGAAAACTTTACACCAAAGCTTGGACATTCAGGTCTGCGATTGTACTCTGCTGATAAAAAATCAGAATATGCTACGATGAAAACCAAAGTCCTGCAAGCTTCTCTTACTTATCTGCCAGAAGATTTTATAAGACATGGGCAGTTATCAGAAAAAGTTGATATCTTCAGCTGTGGTGTGGTACGTTGCCTTTTGTCCACGTTCCAGTGCATTCTTTTGTGCTTCTAGATAGGAAATTGCATGTGCCTCATAGAGTTGTTTTGTCAGCAATTTCATATCACAGCTGCTGACTGTATAATGTGTTTGAAATCCTGGGTTTAATGATGTTCAAACTCCAAATATACTTCAGTTTGTGGCAAAGTGAGGTGAAACTCCTTTTTCTCTCGATGCAAAAAAAAATTACTGCTGATTGCTTGTAAGAGTAGCCAAAAGGTTTCAGTCAAGTTCTCAGAATTCTTGCAGATTTGCCACGTGAACTGCTACAAACGTTGCCTCCTATTTTGGAGTTTCAACTGAAATAAATGAGTCTATGGCACTGTCACCTGTCTCCAGGTGTTTCCATTTAAATAGGAAGTTACTCTGTTCAGTGATTTCTTATTATTTAGAATTACTTTCTTCTCATCCACTGTTTCAACTATATCTATTGTACCTAACTATAAAATTTGGACTTGGCTCTGGAGATCTGAAGCGCCATAAATATTGCCCAGATTTGGCGTTGTTAAGCCATCTGAAGTAAAAATGTAATTTCAAAATGCCCTGGTAGTTCAGTACTTCTTTGGTTACAAAATTAATTTTTAAAAATGGAATTAATTCTGAACCAATTGTTGTATCTTTCAAATATACTTTTTAGGTCTTAGCAGAAATACTGACAGGGATTAAGGCACTGGATGAAGGAAGACACCCTATGTATTTGGTAAGGAAAAGCATGAATAATGAACACCAACATGAGCGAATAGGGCTGCTGTCATAAAATGAATTTTCAGTTTGTGTAAATACAGTTTGTTACTTCCAGTCTGTGAAAAAGGGGTGTTCAGAAGCCCTGTCCTGGTTCCATTAGCATCAACAGCCTCCCTGCCTGTAGAGAGAAGCAGAATGCATATTCCCCTTTCACACACTACACTCACCAATGTGGGCCCGGTTATACTAGGAGATCCTCCAGAATAATTGGTACCAAACATGCTTAAATCCATGCTTAAATCCATGCTTTTGTAAGAGACGAGGCATTCGGAGCCAAAGGGAAAGGGGACACACGGGCAGGTGGTGACTGCTGCTGGTGGTGCCCGTGTTTATCAGGCGATGGTGCGTTGCTGGAGCTGACACCCTGCCCGGGGTGTGAGCGGAACTAAACAATCGGCTTTCACAGCCAACTGGAGCTGGTATGACCAGCCTCCACCTCTGTTCCGGATCCGCCAGCGTGTTGAAGCTGTCAAGGGAAAAACGACGGCATTCTTAACTGCTTCCAGGCAATGTTCAAATGAGTTCAGAATATAAGGGATCCTCGGCTTAGGATTTCTTTAACCAAGGTTTGAGAAGTCCTGCACGAGTGCTGCTATACACAGTGTTAATTATTTTCCATTGCTATAAATCAGCATAAGAGCTGGGTCTGCTTTAGTGAATTTGACATCAGCCCCATGCAGAGAAAACCCTTGGCCTTTCCTCTCCTGGGAAAATCAACGTTTCTGCCAGTTGCACGAACGGAGATTGTTAAAGCTTATAGGTGTGTAAACTGGCCAGGAGGGAGCAATGAGAACAAACACACAGCACGGCTCATATTCTCAGTGATTCAGATAGAAATAAATGTTTGTGTTAATTTTGCCTTGCTAATGCATCTCTTTCCTTTGAACAGAAGGATATGATTGCTGATGAAATTCAAACAGCGAAAGAAAGCTCACGCTCCAAAGTGACAAATTTTGAAAAGCTAGCTGCCAAGGCAATATGCTGTAAATACCTAGACGGGAAAGCAGGACACCTGCTGGAAGAGGTTGCTCTTGATTTTGCCTCAGCCATCTGCCTTTGTCTGAGAAAGAAGAATTCTAACATAGCAGAGGTAATATTTTAAATACGCGACCAAGGTTTTAGTCTTCTTGGCAGCAAGAAGCAATGAAGCCCCATCATTCACGCCTTACTTGTTTTTGAGAGTGCTGCCATGCTGCCATGGGAGAATACGTGGAAGCAGGGGTATAGGAATTACTCTGCATTCACAGATTTTTCTGTTAAAAACAGGTGCTTGAACTGATGGAAACGGCTGAAAACAAATTACGAGAGCATTACATCTCTGGAGGCAGCATTTCTGGGTTCTCCACAAACACTCCAGAAGAAACCGATGATGAGATAACCAGCCTCAGCCTGGAGGTGCCTTCTGCAGGGGAGAGCAAAGAGGACAGCGCACAGCTCGCCATCCTCAGCACTGCCAGCGCCTGCGCAGCTTCAGCAGGGCTTGGGTCCCCCGACATGTACTGCGCCCAAGGGTCAAGGGTGCCTTGTGAGTCAGATGAATCCAGCAGTTTTACATGGAATGCTACTGACGAGCCATATAGCAACAGCGGTGCCAACTTAGAAAACGTAGCAGCCTCTGAGTACAGGATCAAGCAGGAAAAACCTGCAAACGGACTCCAGGAGAGAAATGCGGCATGCGCCAGGAGTGACAGCGTCTCGGCCGCAGCGTCTGCGGCCCAGGGCACCTTTCAACCCCCCGATGCAGACCTCGGCTCTCTGCGTTCCTCGCAAGGTAAGTCTGGATAAATCTGACGGGCGCAAGCAGAACAGTCGAACGCACGTCGTCTTTAAGTGGTTTTGGCAAAGCTGCCCATGCTCCTGGTACGATAACTGAAGTCTTCATAAAAGCACTCTTGTGTCACAACAGTAGGGACAGTTTCTCTCTTCTCCAGAAGTGCTTAGGTTCTTCTTCCTACTTCTAAATGCTTTTCCGTAAATCCTTTCTCTTTGGTTATGATTTTAGCAATAAATCTACAAACTGTTATCTGGTTGTCTATCAGATTTTTTTCCCTAGGCCATTTTTTTTTCTTAATTTAAAATTATAATCAATTTCTTAGACAATAGATGGACTTTTTTTCTCAATACTTGGGCTTTTTTTTTTTCCAGCATTAGCCAGAGAGACATCTTGGAATATAAAGATAAATGATCAAAAGAAGAAGCTCATGGAAAATATTTTGTTGTATGAAGAAGACAAGTTAAACAGTTCTGAACTTTTTGAATCATAAATCGCATGGATTTATTAGCAGTGGCCAGCTCAGAAGAAGTAAGGACTGTGTCTTCATTAGAAAGATGGTAAAAGTGTGCCTTTCATCTAGGCTGTAGTAGATTTGAATCAGAAACATCAGGCCTGACTGAAGAAAACAGAAGTGATCACAGCGCAAAGAAACAGAAAATGCCTGTTCTCAAGCAGATTAAAGCCCAGTGCTACTCTGCAAACAGACACGCAACATAAAAAGATACGGCAAACACTATTCCAAAATGATTTAGGATCCTTTTGCAGTGTGTTTCAGAAAGCACCTACATACATAATGTATGGCATACTGAAAAGCAGGGCAAGCACTGAGCAGCAGCTGGCCGGCACTTCTTTTATCGCTATCCCCCAGGTCGCAGCGACACAAGCCTTCAGTTTTCGGATGAATCTACCCTATTCCCTGTAATCGTAGTCCACATACTCAGCAACACTGCATTACCAGAGAGGGGAATTTCTATGCAAGTTCTCAGATGTATTTTACATGACTTAATTTGAATTGCACTGACCGTAGCTGTAAGGAAATCACTGAAGCCACGTTAGTCTGTTCTGTGAGCTGCTCTCCTACATCCATCCATGTGTGTGCCTCCATCTGCAGTCGGCCTTTGAGGGTCACTGCCAGGAGCTCTACGGCAGTGTTTACTGCTTCCTAAGAGTGGGGTTGGGAGTTAATTTTTTCTAAGCGTCCTTTACACTTTATTAAGGTTTCTCATTGTGTTTCACATGCTAACTTTTGTCTATTTTGGATCAAGGACAACATTGTAATTTAAAATATCTTTAGGTTTTTTATAGGTCACTTGAAAACTTGCTTTGTTGTATTTATTTTGGGAGTGGGGTGATGAACAGGTGAAGGATGAGGTCATCAGTGGGCCTGCTCACCTCGTGTTCGAGAGGAAATCGGTTTTGTCTGTCTCTCGGCTTGCACAGCAGCAGCAGCCTCAGGGTCAGCCTTGCTAATCACGCTCAAAACAAGAAAAATAGAAATTTGGATGCTGTCATATTTATTATCGAGTGAAAGCCACCTGGAGAAAGTGTCACTTCTGTTGTTATGACTATTTATTACTTGTGATAATGTTAGCATATGCCACGCCTGTGCAGGAAATACAGGTTTATTCTGACCAAGAAGAACAAGAACACGTAGCTCAGTTTACAGGCAGGTGACTGCTGCCTCTTTAGCACAGGTAACACGGCCTGATGTAGACATGGCTAAATCCATAATGGAGTTCAGGGAGTATTTTTAAAAAATACTAATTTATATGTAATTCTTTTTATTAGAATTGTGTAATGGTATAGTTTTCCCTACCTTAACACAAAGGTCTCTGTGTAAGACCTCATATCTCCTATATTTTACAGTACCTAGTTTATTGTAAGTACCATTATGAGCAAGGAAAAGTATTTTAAGACGTGAGTATTGGAATCATCTACGCATTTATCAAATTGACTTCTACACTAAAAACTGTAAAATTCCTTATATTTAAGTGCCTTTGATACTATCCATCTATTTGCCAGTGTCAGTATTTTTATTATTTTACCAGAGTCAAACCAAGAAAACATTGATCCTGCTGTAAGAAACATTAAGTATATTCAGATTGGTCAATAACTTGTTCCGTGTTAGTTTTACAATATTCTGAGGTGACATTCATGGTCTTGTGTGGTTACATAAGTATCTAATGGAACATGTATAAGACACTGCATAGTCTTACAGTACCGTTACTCTGTTGCATAACTTAGGTATTCAGGAGAACCTATGTTTAAATCTCAACTTGGCAAATTTATGCATTACCACTTACTAATACCTTTGTGAATAAAAAATGTGAAAAAAATGCTTTCTTTATAGCCTGCTTTTTCAAAACTTATAGCACAGAAAAACGTGTCTCAATCCACACTATTTAGGTAAATTTGTGTTCGTAGGGAAGCCGCTATCAAGGCCTCTTTGCACACACTTAATCATTAGTAATTATTAGCACAAGCATGTTATTCAGTCGTCATTCACTGTTAAACACCTTATTTGTTTCCTTTGAGATGTCCCTAGAGAAAAAAAATCACTCTAAAACTACTAATTACAAGGATTACTGAGATACAACTGACAGTTACTGCTCTTTAGATGCAGAATTGACGGTATCCTTTATCCTTAAGACATTGTAGCTCTTTGTCAAAAATTGAGGACAACTCTGCTTTTTTCTATCCATCAACACTAGAACAAGGACACAGAATATAAATTTAAAAAATGGTATAGTTGTTATAGAACTACAGAACAGTGCAAATCAAGCTAATTTGGAGATCAGCACTTCCCAAAGGTGCAGTCAAAACCCAGAGGCTGAACATCATCCTATATTGTTGATTAACAGTAATAATTATCAATTCACTGAAACATTTTTTCTTGCACATTTACTTTTTAATAATGTGAATAAATACAAACAGGGAAGCATAATACCTATTAGCAAAACTAAGGCAGCATTTAAACACCTAGAGCATGAAGAAAGCTGCATTACACATTTTCCAGGTTGCTAATTGCTGTGGAACCAACTAGCAGAGATTTCTGTAACCCTTGACTGCATCTTACGTACCCTTTGTACTAGAAGATTTTTCTATCTAAAAATGAAATGTCCATGCTATAAAATACAGTTTCCAACAACTGCTAGGGTTTGTCTTTTTTCTCAGGCAACACTGAAACCCATGTATTTCCCAGCATTTCATGAACTGTATTTCCTGGTGCTATTTCTTGTGCAGTTGCTGCCATTTCTTAAAGTATAATGATAAAATGATAAATATCCCTGAACTGAAGGACTGAACTACACCACCGAGCATTCCAGCGCAGTGAGCGTACAGGGATAACCCAACCCCACCTGACACCAATCTACACACATTACCCTTACACAGCATCTCTTTGTGCTTACAACGTGAACCTGCAGTTGAAAAATTCAAGTATTTTGAAGCCACACGGGAACATCAGCGACTGCCCTGGGGGTGCCCAGGCCAGGCTGGGGAAAGCAAGCAGCAGGTGGGAGAGAAAATGGCACAAGAGTGCGGCCAGGTCAGTCCCAAGAGCCCCCGGCGGTGACACGCTCAGCCCCGCACAGCAGCCCGCGTGCCGCCAGGCCTGCGTTCCCTCTTCGGAGCAGCTTCTTGACCCAAAGCGCTGCCGGGCCCGGGCCCAGGCTGCCCGGGGCAGTGCTGGCGTCCCGTCCCTGGAGGTGTTAAAGGCGGTGTCGATCTGGTGTTCAGGGACACGGGTTAGTGGCGGGTTTGGCAGTGCTGGGTTAACGGTTGGACTCGGTAATTTTAAAGGTCTCTCCCACCCAAGGAGATCCCGTGGTTCTGTGG